CTTTGGTGTATAGGACGCAAGCAGATTTTGACATCAAATTTTGGGGTAGAAAAGTGCGTCTTATACACCGAAAAATACGGTAGTTATCTTACTTGCACAAACGGAGAATTTAAACAGGATGTGTAGAGCTATTTTGTGATATCTATTCATAATTAACATATATCATGAACCGAATCAGAGGAGGAAGTAGCATGACTGATTACACCCATATTTGTGTAATACATATATAAATGTGCAAAAATAGCCTCAGATACAATCGAAATGTGCCAGTTTCAATGAAAGCTACAAACATTTTCCAATAGGGCATGATATGGATACCCAAGTATGGCTTACCACTTAATTTCATTCTGCCTCCAAAGATTTTTAAATTTCTACTATGTTTCTGTATATGTACATGTTGTGTAAATATAAATCGGCAGAAATGGCAAAATAGCATTCTCAGCCATATATGTGTGTTTTTCTTGGGTGAACATGTCCCTAATGGTTAGTGTTTCAAGACTATGAATCTGAGAGCTCATGGTTTATGTTACTTCGATACAAAGTATGTTCTAAACTTTGAGGTCACGGGTGCCTTTTAAAAGTGATGGTTAATTCCCCTCATTCAGTTAGAGAGGAGTAGCTTAAGAGTTGAAAAGTTCGATCTCTTGACTAGATGCCTTTCCTCTAGTCTATTAGTTGTAATATTCTCAGATGCACTTATTTCCCTCAAGAGTAATTGTGTAGGTTCCACAGAATAAATGGAGGTTTGGCAGAAAAAAATCACAAAAATAAGTCTAAATTCTCTGACCTCAACTGGTTTCAAAGCAAAGAAAAAGACAGTACAGAATATAAAACACAGTGAACCAATCTTTATTTAAAACTCCCAAAAACAAAATTAAGAAAAGTGTGTTTATATGCCTTTATTGGAGATAATTCTCAGAGAAATAGAAGTGTAAGCATTTTCCAGATTGAGAAAACACAACATTAAATACAAGGAACAATAATGTCGTTCTTCTTAGGGAACATATGTGTATTTGCCATCCCCATATTGTTAGTAGTTACATATAGCATGTTTACAGGAATAATCCCCACGAAAAAGTGCATGTGGCACCATAGTTCAACGAACCACTTCAATACATAACTACGGCAAAAAAAACTTAGCTACTTCCTTAATGAATTTTCTACATTCAAACTATTTACACTGTATATGAAAAAATTATGAGAAAAAATCATATTACATGAGGGGATAGAAAACACACGGCATGACTGTATACTACACCTTCCCTCAACTCCTTAGCTTCAGGCCATTCTTAATTTTAGAACATAAAACCAATTTAAAAAAAAACATGTTTTGTTCCAAAAATAAAGTAGCTTACTCTCGCCCTGAAACACACAGCACGATAAATGATAAACAGACGAAACAGATATTAAAGCTTTAAAAAATAAATTGACCTTGTAATTGAGATAAATATGGTATAGTAACAAACTTATTTGGAATTAAGCACAAAGCTACACAATTGGCTATCTGTGCACTGCCCACCACGGGTATCGAAACCCAAATTCTAGCGTTGTAAGTCCGTAGACATACTGCTGTGCCTCTGGGAGAATAGTAACATAACTCTTCAAAATATATTTAGCACAATACAAACATATCCTTCAAAATCAATAATGCAAAGTAAGCACCTTAAAGCATCATATACAAAGTAATTCCTTTAGACTTAAATTAAATACAAAAAAGAAAGCATTCCAAAACACAAGATAAACCATTTACATAAGATTAAGAATACAAAATAAAATAAGAGCTTTCGCACTAAATTAAATGAATGTTAAATACATCAAACTCAAAAATACAAGGTGAGAAATATTCTTTAATCAAGATTAATTAATTTCAAATAATAAGACAAGGACAAACAAGTCAAAATACTAGTTACCATTAATACAGTTACTTGAAGAAAATAACTAATGTTTAATGATACAGAACAAATATTTCAAAATAATACTATCCCCAGAGTTTAAATTTTTCATGTGGTCCAAGAAAATTATATTGTTGGTTGGTTGATTGGTCAGTGTTTTATGGCGCAAAGCAACGGGGCTATCTGCGCCAAACACCTAGTATAAACATAAAAATACAAATTAAACTCTTGAAAAATGTTAAAACAAGTTAAAAGCTAAACAATGTACAAAAATCTTAAATAGATTTAAAAAGGCCAATGACCCGTAAAAAATAAAAACACAATCAACTTGGACGGTGTTATCATCGCCAATGGCACCATCCAATGTAATGTAAAAAGTACATGTCTAAAATGGTGCTGCCGCTCACACTCGTAACGACGGCACGACAGTAAAACGTGGGCTATTGTGACGTGAGTGTCACAAAGGCCACACATTGATGGATCAGTCCCAGATAAAAGAAAACGATGAGTTTAAAAACTGTGACCAATGTGTAGCCTAGCCAATACAACTTCCTCATTTGGATCCTTATGGAAACAAGACGGCCAAAGAACAACAGAAAGTTTGATCTGGAAAAACTTGTTATGACGTTGCTCACTCCAAATCGACTGCCAACTGGCGGGAGTCCGAGCCTTGAACATAGGACCATAGTCCATATATGGGACAGACACGACTGTGACTGTACCACAGCAGATGGACCAAGCAAACTCGTTCCCGCGAATACCGACATGGTCAGGTATCCAGAAAACTGGATAGAAATAGAAGATAAAGAAAAATGGGTCAGTAGTTTTTGAATATCGACAAGAAGAGGGTGAGAACTAACGTTAAGCGATTCCAGGGCCGTAGACAGCTGAGAGAGTTTGTGCAAATAGTACAGTCAGTGTACTGTGTAGCTTCTACATGATCCAAGGCAAGAGAAATGGCATACAACTCGGCATTGAACACAGAAACTGTAGAGGGGTTCCTGTGAGCAGCCATTGAGCCACAACAAACAATGGCAGAGCCCACTTAGTCATCTGATTTTGAACCATTCATGAAAACGGGAACAGAAGAATGATTTGAAAGATGTTCGGCAAAGAAAGGACAGTATTTTCAATTGGGAGTATCGGCGTTCTTCAGATGACTCAAGGAAATGTGGAGGTGGTAATAAGCCATGGTGGGATAGGCCGATCCTCAGACTCAGCAACGTCATCCAATTCAGCCAGCTGTGCCTGGATATGCAGGCCAAAATAATGAATGACAGACCATCTGTTCCAAAAGAGTATAGCCCACTGAGGAAGAAAGACACAACCCCAGGTTGGATGTTGTGGTAAGGATAGAAGCTAGTATATTGCACAGAAAGTTGCAAATGGTAGAGGTGAAGAGGAGGTTCGTGGGACTCGGTGTACAAGCTCTGGACTGGCAAAGTACAGAAAGCCCCATGCAGAGCCAAAGCCCCAGATGCTGAACAGGGTCCAACATATGCAAGGCAGAGGGTCTGGCAGAACCATAAACCAGAGACCCATAGTCCAGCTTGGAAAGTATAAGGGAACAATACATCTTCAACATAGAATACCGATCTGCTCCCCAAGAAGTGGAAGAGAGGACACAGAGAATGTTCAGTGCCCTTGTATACTTGATGCATAGCAGCTTGATGTGAGAAATGAAAGTAAGCTTATGGTCAAAATTAAGTCCCAAGAACTTTGCCTCAGGAACCATGGGAAGAACAAAATCACCAAGACAGTGTTTGGGGTCAGGTTTTCAACTATGTTGGTGGCAAAAGTGCATGCAAACGGTTTTGGAGAAAGAAAAGGTAAAACTGTTTGCTGTGGTACACTTCAACAAGCAATTGTGAGCAGTCTGTAGCTGCTGCTCAATAAATCTCATGCTCGATGACCGACAAGAAATTTGGAAGTCCTCGACCTAGAGGCCATTTGCAAAAGAAGGAGGAAGTTGTTCAGTGATAGCATTAATCTTGACACTGAAAAGAGTGAAACTCAAGACACAACCTTGAGGGACTCCAATTTCATGTGTGAAAGAACGGTAAAGGGTCGAACGCACACAGACTTGGAATCGCCTGTCAAGTAAAAAATTATGAGTAAAAACGGGCAACTGGCCATGTAACCCATATGAATGGAGGTCCCGCAAAATGCCAAAACCTCATAAGCCTTCTGAAGTTCAAAGAAGACAGAAACAAGTTGTTCTCTCTTGGGGAAGGCTTCCCTGATCGGGGTTTCAAGTCGAATCGTGTGTCAACAAAAACTACATTTGATGGTTGAAAGGAGGTTGTTTGATTCACGGAACCAAACAATATGAGATTAACCCCTCTCTATGAAAATCTATTGCCCACTAAATATTTCAGTGTCAAAACTGAAACATTTTCTTATCAGCATCATTGAAAGTATGACATGTACTGTATCATCAAATAATGACTATACGTCAACAATTACAGCTTACTTCATGTCTCAAAGTCTTAACATCCAGATCAAATCCTTGATTTTCATTCGTATGTTGTTTGAAAGTTGTGTCCTCAGTGTGACTGATTCATTCTTATCATACAACACTCATGAATGCCTTTGTGTAACTTTCATACACATGTGTAACATGTATTTATTCAAATATATGTATTGAAATAAACATATATCTTAACACTACAAAACACTCTAAATAACTTGTAAAGGATGGGTTGCAATGTCCTTTTGGTCCAGTTTGTCATTTGATCAATAAACCATCACAGCTTTTTTTAAATCAATTTGCAATCAAAGAATATAGTTCATTCATTTCATACTGAAACACTGCTTGATATCTGCCACTGAGAGTTGCCCCTCAGAAAGATGTTGGTGGTAATGCCAAATCCAAAGAGTGACTTCTTCAAGCATGAATCGCACAGGTCCAGAAAGGTTCTGCTGGAACAGAGGATGAATAGTGGTCCCATGGAAGGTATATACAATACCATGGTGGCTTATTCTACTGATGAAACCTCCTCCAATTGGAATGTTAGGTGCTTTTCCCTAGCCTTCTCTTGGCTTTAGACTTTGATATTTAATTTTGGTTTGATCATTTATTCTCCCACTAGCTGCAGCATATGAGTCACAGGTGAGAAGATTGGTGCACTGGACATTGTAGATCTGACAGAAGCCATTATAAAGCAGATTTACCTAATACTCATGTAGGAAATCAGGTTAACCTGAAAGTATCATAGAGTATGTAAAAAGAATGAATTTTGTTATCATAACTATAAGATTCTATTGCGTAGTTTCTGTTTTTTCTAACGTGATATTGTTCTTACTTTAGCTTAAGTTAAATGAGTCTAAAGAAATGTTACTTACTGAAAAAAATCATTTTTGTAGGTAGAAGTTGGAAAAGGGCAATTGTATGAGAGGTATCGAATCTAGTAAAAGTTCTCTCTTGCTGATGTTATGTAGACTCCTGATGTCGATCTCTCTGCAACTTCTGTCTCGGGAAGATCAGGCAATATCTATGCAGAATGGCAGATTAGGTGTTGCTTCTATGAATCTATCTCAATGCAAGTGAAACACAAATGACTGATAAAAGTGTCAAAACATTTTAGTCCACAGTATCATTCAGAAATCTACCACTAGTATGAACCTTGATACATTTTATTGCCACAAAAAGAAACACGTCATCTGCCAGTATGTTAACAATACAGTATCAATATACGGACTCAATGGAAAATTCAAAATACAACATTCATTCATGTGCATTTCAGCCATCCGGATATATTGTGTATTCTGTAAAAAATGTTGAATGTTATACATTGGTCAAACATGTCGCTGCATCTCTTTTATTTAAGAAATAATGATATTACAAAACCCACAGGTAGATACTTTAATAACTGTTCACATTGCATCCCTGAATTATCCATACTTGGACTCATATTTACTCTCTCAAGTGTAATGCAAACAAAATGTCTGGAAAAAAGTTTGATTTTTAAATTAGGCACTATCAATCCCTCTTTTAATTTATCTTTAATTTAACTTTATCTTTTCCATTTCTCCACCTTACACTTCCCATATACATGATGTACACAGCGTGGTTACAAGTAGCTAGACACCACCTTTTCAGAAAAAAAAAGAAATTTTTCAGTCATATTCACATGAATTGATATA